ATTGCCATCATTTCCACATTGTTCATTGTTATCAGAGTAGGTCCAATTTGAACGGAAAGACGCAAATCAGCAAAACTGCATATGGAAACGTTTGCCCAGCTAAACACTTCTGGCTGTTTTGGCCTGAAAATAACTGCCGGTGCTCGTTGCGCAGTTAGTGAGCGATTTTTTTTTCTCTTCAGGTGGCTCCCAATGATTGGTTTTGTTCGTAAACGTTGCGATACGTCAGCGCTCTGTCGTAATCCAGACTCACTTCGCCGACAACAACTTTCGTTACTTGATGATGAGAAATTCAAGTGTTTTCCAGTGAAATTGCTGGGTGATGAAAGTGGCGCAAAATGTGAAATTGACGGAACGCATGTCACATTCATTTATAGGTCACTTTTCCACCGTTTTGTGCAGATTTTAAATTTAAAGGAAAACGTATCCTTCATATGATGCCAGTGATAATTATGCGCTAAGATCGCTGAACTTGTAATCCAGTGACTATCTCAGACCTGAAAATTCTTTAATTATAAGGCTTAGATTATTACATTGAGCTACCAAAATGTACTGCGTGCCAAAGGCGAACCCCACCCATACCCTCTGTGAGAAGCGGAGGCAGTCTGAAGTTATACGGGTAGTAGCACACTGCCAGTAGTAATCAATCGCTGATGACTTTTTCTTACAGAATTTGCGAAATTATCACGTCTAAGACCAGCAGAAGTGATCGACTCAGAATTTCTTTCTACGCAAAAAAGCAACGAAATGAGGGCTTGCGTTTATTGCAAGCTAATGTGTCGGTGTTGAATAACGCAGTAAACTGCAAAATCAGTGCATGCTACCTAATGAAAAGAAAATATAATGTAGCAGCATTATTTAATTCATTAGTTTATGCGGGGACGGCATGTTTATTTCCTAAAGTGACTGGGAGCAGCGACAAAATAAACTTATGCATTGAAAAAGTGTCTGTCAGGGGCGAAATCGTGGAAAATGACAATGGCAAGGAAATGAAGCTTGGACCAAATGATACTGTGTTGTTTGTCGGTCCAGACATTCACAAGGAAGATCTACAGTGTGCGGTCGACTACCATCTAACCTCAACAAGGTCAGTTTAACTATGAATTTTGCAGTGTTTTCAGTGGAGAACAAATGTATTTAACTTACATACTGCAGGCGTTGGCGACGTGTACGTCAACTCCCGGATGTCCGCTTTGCACCACAGTTTACGCTAAAACCGACTAGCCGTTCACATCGAGAAGGAACTAATGTCAGACTAGATTGCGAGGTTTCTGTTTTTTGAAAAAGAAGGTCTCACTGCAG